TCAGAATTCTGACTTTTTCCCCATACTATACTGAAATAAAATTTAAAAAAAAAATCAGTTGACTTTTTTTTTTTTTCAGTGGCCCTAATCCTCTTCCGTAGAAAGTTTATTCTTATTAGTACAATTATATTGTTTGCGTCCGGAAATTTCATTTTTGCTGGCAAAAATGTAATTTAGGATAACTATATTTACAGTTATTTAGATATATTTGATAATCAACAGCGCTTCTAATAAATGTCAAAACGGCCTGCCAGAGAAGCCTGTTAGACGATCCAGTTCCTCAATGGGCGGGACAAGCAGATTAACGGGCTCCTTCGACCAATAGGAGCCGGGACTCACAGCCCCTACCGTTACGTCACTACCTTGAAACAGAGGGGTGTGCTCGCGCTGCAGGAGCTACAGGCTAAGCTCCTGGGGATACCTGAGGACGCTGGAAGAAGAAGAAGTCGCCCTTTTTTTCCGGGTTGCTCTCGGTTTCCAGCCTCAGTGGAAACTGCGTCTGATCCTCGGAGGGTTTCCTGGTTCGGCTGTCCTGAATCTTTCCTTCCACAGGTGGGTGAGAGGAAGCTGTAGCTGTTGGTGCGCGAGAACTCAGTGCAGGTTTGGTGTCACTTTTCACTGCTGTGGACAAACATGGTGATGATTTAAAAGCTCTGAGTCCTGAAGCTGTGTCACACCAACCAGTGTCTAACCCTAAAACTGTTTTACGTTTACAAAGACTTTCATTTTATACTTAATTTAACTTTTCATTATCATTAGGCCCATTTAAGGCCAACAAACCTTTAAATTGCTGTTATTTATGAGCTTTAAATGCTCAGTTTTTAACTAGAGACCCAGAAAAAAACAGAAGTGCTTCAGTCTGACTCAAACTTTAAGTAGTTGCTTTATTTAAATAATTTTAGGTAATAATTGAAATATAGATACATATAAAAAATAATATAACAAATATGATATGAAAAATAAATATATAAAAATATATATTATAAAATAAATAATGATGCCTGTAAATGCTGGCCTAAGGAAACTTGACCTTTTGACCTCACAAACCGAGTTGGTCGTTAAGGATCTGACCAATTTGTTTTAAATGCAAACATCTAAAATGCTGGAAGTCCTGTTGCCCCGTTCAAGGAGATTTTTAAGGTCAGGTAGAGTAGAAGGATGTGCTGCAGAGCTGCCATTTACGCCGCTCTTGATGGAAAAGTTACTGTTTTTAAGCCTAAATGGGGGCCGTGACATCCAAACATGGACAGTTTGGAGTTAAAACAAAGATGTGTGGTCAGGATTCAGCATGCAAGGAGAAAATAAACAGAGGTTTGGCTGCAGGAAGGATTTTCTTTAACTTTCTTAAACATGAATTGGAGCCAGAAAAGACAAACTTTCGAATAATTAATTCAATTCAGTTTATTTCTATAGCGCCAATTCACAACACACGTCATCTCAAGGCACTTTACAATTTTAGATCAATTGTAAATCTAAAAATAACGACGCAGTCTTGTGCAGACATGTTTGAATACTTTCTAATTCATAAAAATGCAAACTTTCACCTAAAATACTTATTTCGTATTTTATTGTACCTTATTTTCTTTTCTGTCCGAGTGAAAAAAGTGGTGAAACTAAATTTTTTTTGTTTTACTGAGAAGCCAAGATAACACAAATTATCAGGGTCACAGCCCAATGCTGCCTAAACTGTTTCCATGTTATTTAGATTTATTTGCCTCTATCTTTGTTCATTCTTTCGCCGAGGAATTTAAACCATATTTAGTTTTTCTAAATATTGATGAAGCATCTGTTATGCTATCTAAAAGG